AATCGGTTGAAAAATTTAATATAAATTTCAAGAACTAGTCTCATGCTGATTGTGACAGTATTTTACGAGCATAAAAAGAATAGTGTCGCATTGGATTGGGCCGGCATTTAGCATCCGCATCTGAGATTATTAGAACTCAGAACTCACGGCTGAGTTATATGTAGTTCCTAGTATTGTTTAATCAATAAAGCCATGTATATTCCAACGCTATTTCACACAAGCCTAGCTGCATGTGAATTTGACTTGACGAGTCATTATCATGTGTCTGATAATTATAAAAATTATGTAATTATGTAATTATGTAAAGCAAATACTGTAAAATACAATTAATAGTATTTATTATTAAACATAAACATTATAAAGACAGGCAATTTGAATGATTTTTCGACTGATATTCAATCTATATATGAGTTAGAAACAAATGATTCCAGAAAAATTAATGTAAAAGATATGATGGATCCTTGGCTAAAAGAAAAGCAGTATCTTGTTTCTGAAGTTACAATAAATTATCTTAATGAGCGGAAAACAATTTTAATAGAAAATTTCGAGAAATGGACGGTATCATTGACATATACTTTTCCACCGAATATTAATTTCTTGAAATACTTCAGCGTCAAACTGGGTAAACGATCAATTAAAGCGTACCTCTCTAATATTGAATTCTACATTCCGCTCAGAGCAGCTTATGCGCATTGCGCATGCACAAATATGTCATGGCACATAATTAAATTCGACAAACATATTCTATTGTCTAAGAGATTTTGTGACAATTAAAAATGTTTTATTTTACAATAGATTGGCTGCAGACAACAGCTTAATAAATTCATACATACTTAAAAAAAATAAAAAAAATTATACACACAAAGCAACGATAAATGACAGATCTACTGATGAAATTGATTATCATAAATATTGAAGAAAATTCGTAAAACAAAGAGCAAAATGTATGTATAGTTTTATATTAAATAAATATTCCAAAAAATAATATCATAACAGCATGATTTATTTCAACAACTTAAACATATTCGGTGTAAAATTGATTTTATATTGAAAAATTTGCTTGTATCGTTATTGTTTTAAAATCTGTGTTTAGTTTAGAAAATCATTGAATACTAGTCTTAGAGTCAGTTTTACAATCTTCGGTTAAATCTATTTTTATTATCTATTTTTATTATCTGTTTAAATCTATTTTTATTATCTTTGGCCGGTTAAATGTCAATAATAATTAATCAATTCTGGTATATTCCGCTTAATAACAAATGCGATCAATTCCAATGGAATAACCGGTCATTTAAGTAAACCGACCATCATTAAAGTTTAGTAAAAATTGTGAAACTGGCCCGTAATAATCTGGTTATCTGTAAAATAAAAAATAAGATAAAAATAATTGACATACGTATCGCATGTTTGATAAAAAAACTTCAAAGTATTTTGAAGTAAGCCAAATATTCGACATTACATGAGATATTTAATTTTTCGTTTATATATTATGTAATCTATACTATATTTTATATATGCAACCTTTCTAATAATCACGCGAAAACATTTTTCATTTACATTCAACTGCGCGATACGCAGTTTTATAATTTAACATAATTTTGTCACGGAAAATAACGAAGAAATTGCAAGTTAACTTTATACGTATAGGTGTCATTATAATTTGCTAGATTGAGCTTTAATTTGAAGGTAAAAATATGAAGGTAAAAATTAATATTTTTAAATAATATATTTTTTTATACAAAACATGTGATCAATCTAAAATTGTAAATGATTTTTTATGTCAACCTTTTTTGATATATGTTTATAAAAATTACTCAGTATTTATTCAAAGACGAATGATTTTTAGGTTTTATAATTTATAAATAATAGTAAATTTTATAAATAATAGTACGGAGATATTTTATTTTCGCATTGTGATAATAAAATATATATCATTTTATATATATATATATATATATATATGTTGATATTTGAAATTGCTTTTATTAAAACATTATTATTTTATGTACATAATATTAATAAATAAAAAATATCTTAATAAAGACTTTAAATATAACATACAGTATATAATATAATAATATAATAATATATATAATAATATATAAAATAATAATAATAATAATAATAATAATATATAATAATATAATAATATATAAAATAAAATAACGTTTTCAAAATAATAAAAATCATATTTATGTACAACAATCGATTGTATTTTGCAGAAACGTCGGACGCACGCAAGAAATTATTCCTCGACGCAAAAATATTCTCACGAACATTTGCCGACCAAAGCAAAGAGCATTCACGATTCGAAGGGAAGCTCCAAACAGAGCTATAAGTTTCGACAAAACCATGAATACTACGATAATACGTCAGGAAGCTTAAAGGAAAACGCTTTTGGCTCGCTGGAATCTCTTTTTGACTTAAAGAAGTCATTGAATTTGCGCGATGTGTTCTCTTTAGCGTTTCATCATTGTAAAGAAAAATCAATCAAAGCGTGTAATGCCACGAAATCAGAACCCTTTGTAGATACATTATATCTGCAATCCTTTTCGCTACAGACAATTCTCGATCCGCTTGTTTGCAAAGCGGTAATTGTGCTATTATATTTGCTTTTTTCTTTCAATTATTTGATTCAATAATACTTGTTTTTATGATTGTTTAGCAAGAATTAAATGTGGTTTAAAGTATTTGTCATTTAAAAATGACATGCATGAAATGTAATTTATACATACTTCTAGTATGATAAAATATTGACATTTTTTCAGTACAAAGAACATGATAGAGTAAAAGTTGAACAAAATGCAAAAATTCAAATAAGTAAGAAAAAAGAAAAAAAATTCTGGTTGGGAGCATTAAATTCAGTAGAATTTCAACCGATTGATCTTATTCACGATCAACAAAATTATTCAGTGTAATAATTTTTATAATATTTCTATAATATTTGTATATTGTATCTATAATATTATTTCTATAATATTGTAAATTGTTTCTATAATATTTATATATTTCTCAATTAATTTTATGAAATAATAATATCTATAGAAATATGGCCGAAAATAAAATACCAGATAACGAAGTACAAGAAGAGAAAGAAAAGGACAAAGATAAAGGTGAAGATGCGGATGAAGACAAAGATAAAGGAGATAAAATTGATGAGAAAACTAAAAATAAGAATGAAAATGAAGTAAAAACGAATAATAACGACAAAAACAAGGAAGAAAATGAGGAAAAAATGGAAATTAAAAATGATTTAGAAGAAAAGCCTCTAACTAACTCACTTGATGTTGTAGAAGGTATACTTTAATTATTTATTATAAATAATAGAATATAAATTAATAACATTTATATAAACTGTTAAAAAATTATTACAATTTATATAATTACAGATAAAGTGATAGAGGAATTAATAAAGCCAGAAATAAAAGAGGAGTTAATAGAGCCAGAAGTGAAAGAGGAGTTAATAGAGCCAGAAGTGAAAGAGGAGTTAATAGAGCCAGAAGTGAAAGAGGAATTAATAAAGCCAGAAGTGATAGAGGAATTAATAGAGCCAGAAATCAGTTTACCTCCTTTAACTGATGACATAATTATCGAATTAAAGATAATGAATGAAAGATGCATTCTGCTAACAGATGAAATTCAACAATTAAAGCGTGAAGTTCTCGAGTTACAAGAGGTAATGTTTCATTATTATTTGGTATATATCTTTATTATTAATACGATGATTGCAATAATTTATAATTATTTTCTTTACTTTGGAGAAACCTGAGTTAACGGAAGAAGATACGTTAACGATTCAAAAAAAACAAGAAATTCTTACATCAAAAGTAGCCGAACTGGAGCAATTGACGCAAAAGTTTGAAAAAGTAAAGATTTAACAGATGATAGTACAAGTTTTGCTTAGATTACTTTATATGTAATTGTATATTTGCAATTAACTTGACAATAAAATAAAGTAGTGATAATTGTTGAAAGTATAATGCGATAAATATATATTGCAGACACGAGAAGAAGTAAAACGGCTTAGCGAAATAGAAGAAGTTGAGATAAAGAAACCGGATGTAAAACCAGTTAAAAGAATTCTCGAAGATCGCTTCGAATTGCCGCAAATAGAATATCCTGAAGATAAGTAAGTTATTAGTATCAAATGTTGCTAGCCAATCAAGATATATATTTTTACCAGACTATATATTTTTACCAGACTTCCAAGAGTAATTGTTTGCGGCTACACGGATGTGCTTCCAAAAATCGTAATAGCAGATACTGAACGAAAAGAGAAAGAAAAGTATTTTGAAAAATTAACTAACAAATTAACGGAATCTTTAACGTTGCAAGAAAAATTGATTAAAGAAAACGCGCAATTGGAAGACGGAAAGTATGATTATCCTTTATGTAATATAAATTTTTAATTGCACATTATATTTCACATAATAAAAAATCTATATGAACAGAAATATCTGAACACACACACACACACACACGCGCGCGCGCGCGCGCGCGCGCGCGCGCGCGTGTGTGTGTGTGTGTGTGTATATATATACATTTGATTATATTTTAAATTTGCAAATGCATGATATTTAAGAAAATGATATATAAAGCATCAAGATTTAAATTCATTTAATTTGGATGTCTATTTGTTCAGGAAACAAACAAATTTAATTTAAATAAATAATTTAATTAATTAAATAAAAAAATAAAAAGTAAAATAAAAAGAATAAAATTTAATTAATTTAATTTAATTTAGATTTATTTAAAATAATTATAGTTTTGAATAAGATGAAGAAAAGTAATTGTATCGATCAATTTTTTTGGGGACATTCAACATGAAGGAAGAATTTAACATTCGATAGTTATTTTATTATAGCAAATAATAGAAGATCAAATAAAATAAATGCTTGAAAGCTGTTCCCTCGGCGACGAACATTTCACGATGTTTTCAGTATTGAAGCATGTCAATCATACGTCACTTTTTCTAACCCGGTCTCACGATACACTAATCTCAGCAATGAATTAAATGTGCATGTTAATCATTTTGTTTTTTGAAAGTTTTATAACGTTTCGATTGAACAGTCTTTCTATCTCATTCCAATATGTTTTGATTTTGACGTGGAGTGACATATCAAAATGTTCAAAGTAATTCTGAGAAAAATCAAGATTGTATGAAGAGATAGCTGTCTCTTGCAAACAGGTACAAGTTAGAAGAGGTCTTGCTAGAAAAAGATACGGTCCTCGAGAATTTACAGAAGAAGGTATACGGTTTGCAAGCAGAAATGCGTATAATTGTCAAAGAGAATATGGAATTGAGTCGTCAGTTGGCCACTTTAAATCAATTAGTGACCAGTCCCACTTGCTGTTATACCTGTCCAGGCGTTACTCCGTTGACGTCGCCGACGTTATCTTCGCGTCCGCATGCCACAGCGCAATCTCGGGACGACTGTCGATGCTGCAAATGCTGTCTCAGATTACAGTTCAACGACACCTTATCGCCGACTACGGAAACCGCATGCAGTAAGATAGCGAATAATTATCCAAATCTGTAATTCGGCCACTAAGAGAATATGGTAGAAGCGAATGAATTCCCTGTGAATTTTTATCAAAAATAAAAAGGATGCCTGCAGAGAATGGTGGAATTCTTCGAAATAATAAGAAAATGATTAATCTCTCAGATTCACCGAGGCTTACAGGAGGTGGTTCGACAACGGGGGATCATCTAGCAGACACCAACGACTTACAAAACGTGGAGATGTGTTCCCGAGGTCCGATCGTTGTTAAGCCACGAGGAACGTGTCCTGCAGAATTGGAAAATAAACTTGCGACCTACGGCACTAGCACTAAACAATTAGTAAGTTTCAAGATTTGTTGGAAAGAGAATGATAATTCTTATATACTCTATATCTTTCTCTCAAAACTAATTTAATTCTTTCAGCTAGTATTTATATGATAAAGATTTATATTTATGATAAGTTCTATGTCTGATGTTATGATATAAAAAAATGTTGATTAAATGTAGTTAAAAGCATAATTAAAAATTCGATTAAATTTATAGAATGCAATATCACTTTGTTTTATGATTTCTTCAGGAACAACAACTAGGCAGTATGGAGACTGAGGTACGTAATATGCAGATGGAATTAGCGAATGTGCAACGGGAGCGGCAACAACTGGAACAACAACGTAAATTGCTCAAATGCACAGGACCCTGTGCACAATGCGTTTGTTGCCCACCTCCGCCTTTAACATGCGTGACACCCACCGCAGCACTTCCGTTAACATCTATCTCATCAAAAGTACCTGTCGTATCTCCAGCCCAGGTATAATTTTTGTTTTTCTATAATTTAGCCAAATTTTTCAAGCAACACTTATTTATTTTTACAATTTACGTACGATCACTATGCTTTCCACCATTGAACCGTGATCCTTTTCGTGTTCATCACTGTATCACAAATTTAAAACAGTAAGCAGAAAATAGTGTATTTTTTATCGAATATAGGTGACGCAGGCTGCGCCAATATGTAATGGTTCTTGCACAAATGCAGTCATGGTAAGATTGTAATAAAAGTGAAATTTAATTAAACGCTATTACTTTAGATAATCACGATAGTGATATAATTTATTTATACCAAAGGGTACTGGCACCCAGCAACAATTGCGTGATCTTCGCGAACAATATGCCCGGCTTCAGGATGACTATAAAAGCAAATTGTGCGAAGTATCGTGTATGAGAACAGAAGCCGAGAAGCTCAAGCAAGATACGCGAGATGCAAAGGAAGAGAGAGAACGAATGGAGATAAAGTTGATAGATGTTCAAGAACGATTGAAGCTTTTAGAAGCGGAGAAGGGAAAGTTCGAAGGTTAAATCTCTTCACTACAATAAAAAGAAATAGTACATAGATCTCTAATTTAATATGTAAAATAAAATGCATCTCAATTTCGAAATAGGTCATAAGGAACATCTCATCGAACAGGAACAGGCTCTAATGGTAGCAAAACAACGCTTTCGAGAAGCACAAGACGAATTGGAAGAGCTCCGTTCTTTAATTCAAGATCAAGCTGCTCAATTGGAGGATTATCGCAATAAATATTTGCAAGTTGGTGTCATCGTTGCGATTTACTAATTGCATTACGTCTGACATTTATTCTCAAGCGTAAATGATTATTAGAAACGAAATCAATGATCTTAGGCCCAGCAACAAGTTGAAGAACAGCGTAGACAATTGGACCTTATGGAAATGGACAACGCGCGAATGAATGAAAATGTTACTTTAGAAATCGGACGCGTTAAAGTATATGAAATATTTAATACTAATACTATTGAGTACGACTTTATTATTTGGATTATATAAAGTTATATTCTTATTCTTCTATGTTAATGTTGATTAGAATCAATTTCAAGAGAAATTAGCCGAACTCGCGCCATTGCCTGATATCTTGAAACAAATGCAAATGAAGATGCAGGAAGCGCAACAGATGCGTTTGGTTGCCGAGCGCAGCTGCGAGGATCTGTCGCGAGAATTAATGGGATGCAAGGATAAGATCCAGACTTTGCAAAACCAACTGGACGTATTGCGTACCGAACATCAGACACTTCAGGTTGCAATTCATTGTAGCTCTTAATTTATTCTGTAACTTCACAAAAATCTTTATTTTAATTAAAAATAATCAATTATTGATATGTAGGGTGAAAGAGGATTGGGATCCGGCCAGTTCGAAGAGATGGAAAGAAAATGTGGTGAGTTTCGGCACGAAAATGAAAGAATGAAAAACACATTGGCACGATTTGAGGAACACGAAGTGCAATTACAAAAGCGCATTGACGAAAAGATGCACGAGAATACCCAGCTGTCATCAATGCTAGAACAGGTACTTGTTAATTAATTGTAACAATTATTTAAATATTAATTTCTTTTTGACTAAGATAAGGGAAGACTCTGCTCGACAAGTGGCGAGAACGAAAGAACGATGCGAAACGGTACGAAGATCGATGCAAGGCCAGATTGCTGAAATGGAAAGACAATTGGCACAATGTAGAGCAACAGCACGTGCCGCCCAACGGGACAGAGACGAGGTAACGATTATAAATGCGACATGAAAATTTTAAAGAAAAAAAGGTATATTTATGGCACGTTTTTCATTAACGTAATGCAGATTAGACAAAAGATGCAGAGTCAAATAAATAACTTGAACGAGGCATTTAAACACGCGCAGGGCCGCATAAAATCATTACAGGGTCACGTAAACTATCTTAAGACTTCTTATAGTAATATCTTCCTCGGCCAAGGAGAAACACCACCAAGTGCTTTGCCAGGAGACGATTCTTGCGACTGCAATTACTAAATGTGTACACGCTATACTTTGATGATATTATATTTTGTCCAACACAACGAAATTAAAGCATACTATTTAACATCGCACATAAGCCTTTTTTGTGAATTTCTCTCTCTAAATGAGTCTGATGCAATTGACAAAATAATTGATAAATAACAGTTATAATGTATTTTTTTATAAAGTATATAATCTACAAATGATACATAAAAAATAATAAAAAAAAAAATAAAATAAAATAGAAAATTATGCACATTCACTGCACGATAATCATCTATTTCATTATTCTTAACACATGGCTTAATGTAGTACTTATCACGTATTTATTTCACACAAATCTTTTTTCATATGGAAAATATGAATGTATAGAGCACAGCACTATCTTATCAGAAACTTAAACAAAAATTGGCATATATCGCTGTTAGATATGCATATATTTGATGTAAACATATATTTTTTCATTATTTATATATATATATATTTTATTTAACAAATCGATTATATTCCTTTTTTATAAGCAATGAAATAGAACGCGATATATGATAGTGTCATAGTGGCTAAGAAAAAAAAAAACAAGAATAAAAATATGATATATGTACATGGAAAAGGAATAATTAACATTAAAATGGATTTCTTTAATCTGTATCCACTGAATGAAGCATATTGAGCATATCAAGAATAGCATCTGAACGCGAACGCACCCTTTCCATTTCCATTCGAAATTCTTCCAATTGAGATTCAATCCGTTGTGCGTAAGCATGACAGCATCTGTAATTAGATAAAAAAATCTAAACGTTCTAATAACAATCCAGTAAAAATAATTTAATATACAATATTAAGTCAAATATATGATCTAAATAGGGGATATTTATTCTTACTAAAACAACAAATTCCCTTCTGCTAACAAGTTGATTATAAATTTCATAAATAATAATACCATAATTGGAATACTATATGTATTGAAGTAAACCTTGGAAAATATTTGAAAGTATACCTTCCAGCAGGTTGTCCCGGATTTGAACATGATGGTTCTGGTGATGCACACGGCGAAATTTTGGTTTGAGAACAATTTGAATATGGTTCTTTCTTGTGTATACAGCTTGTGCTATTATTAGATACATTAGAATTATAGCAATCTCCACATCCTCGTAAAAAATCCATTAAAATTCCTCGTACTCTTTTTCCAGTTGATCTTCGACGTCTTGTCTAAAGGAAAAATATATAGTTAAAATCATAATCGCAAATAATAATCGTAAAGCTTTTCGAAACAATTCATAGAATTATTTACAACTTACTTCTAATGTATCATCATTACGTCTTGGCATTATTAATGGCTCTTCTTCATGTACATTAGGAGAGGAATGATTACACGATCTGTTACATTCTCGATTTATATTCATTGGCTCGCAAGTTTCTTTTGACATATTACAGCATTTGTGACTTTCTTGATGATTATCTGAGTTATGCATATGATGACATGTCGAGCAATTTCTGCAAATAGACTCATTCTCTTCTGAGACAAAGTTTAAATGCATGCTAGGCTCTAAATTTTGTGAAAAACTTGGAGCTCGTCGATGTTCCTGCGAGGAATTTAATTTTTCTTTACTGCAGTTAAAACTATCTTCAAACCTTTGTTTTTCCTTGCCTAAGGAACAATTGCACTTCTGCTCTGACACGTCTATATTATGAATACAGCAGGAATGTAATTTTTCTTGGGGATGTATTCGTTTGTATTTTAACCATTCTTTACGGTGTTTTGAGAGATCACAGTTTTCACAAGAGGAAACACACGCATTTGGACTACAGAGTTTATCCGCATGTGCTTTATCTGTAGAACAAGATGCTTTTCCTACATTAAATGAAGATGACTGCAGACATGAAAGATTAGATGCAACTGAAGACAGTTCAAATTTAGGAGGACTTTTTGATTTTTTACTTGTTGAACATATTAAATTACTGCCATTGAATCTGGTATGCGGTGTCTTTTGCCAATAATTATAACTTTTATCTTTCATTTTAGAAGTCTCTGTTTCATTCTCAGTCTCAGCAGTGGATTCTTGACTGATCTGAAAAATCCATTCTATTTTAATATGAAATGAAAATATATTCGTTGAATATATTATTTTTTTGTAATTTATAGACTTACCTCTTTACCCCAAATGTTGATTGTTCCATTTATCTCAGACATTCTTACTTCTACATTACCAAGTAAATATGGACCACATTCCCGAATGCGTCCTTTTTCATTAATAGCTTTATCCTTTTCAGGCTCCTCCGCTAGAATTAGAAAACTACGATCTTTACTGTTTTCGTCTTCACGATATATAAAACATTTTACATTATCGTCAGCGGTTTCTGTCTTGCTTTCTATAGATGTAGCAGTTCCTAATTGACTAGTGTTAGCTGAGTTTTCCTGAATATCTATATTTTTATTTACCGAATCATTATAAGAACTTAAATCTCTCTTAAATTGTGACTCTGCATTAGAAGTTTCATTTAAATGTGATTCTGCAGTAGTTTGGGAAGATTTAAGGGATTGTACAAAATTAGACGGTCCAAGCACATCTGAAATCTTTCTTTTCTTGGAACTAGAAGGCTGACATTGATAGCTGTCATTTTGCACATCCATCGCTATATTTTCATTTAATCTTTTCTTCGAATTTTGTGTTACTGGACTTTCCGGCTTTGTTTTCCCTTGTGTAATATTTGAAAGAGTTTGCAAGATTCGAGATGAAGTAATGAATGCACGCGACAGTGAACGTGTTTTCCCCGGTGTACCATCAGATAGCATCACACTATCATCAGAATGCAATGCTTTCGCAACTTCTGGTGGTTTCATGGATATTGATAGATTACACGCACTAGAACTCCACTGATCTATAGAACTTAGAGTTGAAGCCACACTACTACCCGACAATTTATTGTTAGGTTTCTCCTCATTTGTAGGCGCGACTTGAGTTTGGTGTTCTTTAGATTTAGAATCAACGATAACATCCGTCTGAATTGCCGCGACCTTTTGTTCCGGGGGTTTGTTTTCTTTTTCATATTTTGCTACCAATTTTCTCAACTCGTCTAACTCCTCTTTCATTTTTAAATTTTCCATAAGTTGTTTTTGATATGTATCAAAGAGACTATTGTATTTTAGAGTCTTTTGCGTTAATTTCTTCTTTAATGCAATAACTTCTGAAGCATCCAAAGTCTTGTTAAATTCTTCATTTGCTTTCTCAAAAGTTATTTGTTGTTCATTGTTATTTTTCACTTCATCTGACATCGTCTTGATGCTTTTTATATTTTCAATTCTTAGAGGACAAGTATCTTCATTATCCATGGATATATCCATTAGTTCCGAATTATTGTATGTTTCAGGTTGAGTATGTTCTTGCTCAACAATCTGTGCATTTTTATTTAGATCAGTTTTTTGACTAGATTCAGAAGCGCCATGCATATATTCCTCATAACTCAAAGTACGTAAATTGTACAGCAACGTTGGCACTTCCTGATGACCATTTTGAATGAGGGACGGTTGCATAGCATCTTCAAAATGTGGGGTTTCTCTATCAGGATAATTGAATTTTAATTGTTTAATTTCAATTGTCCCATTTTGTTTTTGTATTTTATTATCAGCGCTTACACACTCTTTTTCATTCTGTGTTGACTCAAAATGTATATTTATTTGGGCTTCATTCTGTACAGATTCTTCACGTATCGATTCTAAACAGTTTTTATTATCTTGGCCATTTATTACAATTGGCTTAGTAGCATTATAGGCTGCTTTATCCATACTACTGTCGCATGCTTCTACCACTTCCAATTCCTTAATTGCTCTTTCAGTATATTCTTTTATTGTCTTGCTGATTGCTGTAGGCTTTGTTTTTTCCACATCACTATTTTTATCATGGACTACATTTTCCTGATGCTGTTTAGCATGTTTTTCCATGGATCGTCTATTTTGTTCTTTTATATCCTTGATATAGCGTTTGACTTTGCTTTGTATATATTTTCCTGGCATCGGCTGCTTTCTCTGCATCATGGAATACATAACAGCTTGTTCTGGAACGTTTAGATAATTCGACTTTAAGCTATGCAAGTTTCTCCTTTTGAGATATTCAGCATTCATATTATTTTCATACATATTCAAATCTTGAAGAGAAAGACTCTTCTCTTTGTCATGATTTTTTAATCTTCTATTTAAAATAAAATTATCAGACCTTCTATCGTAACAATCTGTCTTATAATAATCATCAATACCATCATCGTCGTTGTAAATATATCTAGGACTGTCTTCGTCATCTTCCTCATCTTCATCATCTTCATCATCATCATCTTCGTCATCCATCAAATGCTTCATGTTATTTGCACGATCTGAATCAAATTCGTTGTCAAGCTCTAAATTTTCCATATCTGTAAGATAATATAATAATTATTTTATGATACATATATAGAAGCAATATAATTGTATATCAATTCAAAAATATAAACTTGATTATTTATATGAGATAATATGTATGAAACCAATTTCTTTTGTCATCTGCACAGTTCTTTATTAACTTACCATCACTGTCTCCATATTCATCCTCATCATCCTCATCATTGAAAGGATGTTGATCGGTGTCTTCTCCAGATGACAAAACATACACACTGCTTGGTGCCCGATCTTCACTAGGATGAGGACTTGGACTACGATTCTCTTCCATCTCCTGTGTCTCATTTTTCAATGGTTTCGCATTAACAACGTCTGAATCATCTGGTCTCATAGAGCTGGACACACTGATATACGTCGGCATCTCTTCGTCGTCGAGTAGAGCCGCGTCTGTCTGATTCATCAATCTTGCCTCACTCTTGGACGAGTCGTTAGGCATGTCTTCCATCGTCTTTGTCTCCGTCTCGGTGTCGTCAGGCGAGTGTTCGCTGTTCTCCGACATCGTGAAGAAACTATAATCAAAGAGAAAGGGAAAGCCACGATTATTATCGATCAGCGCGATTCGACGATCGATCAGAGATGTGGAACGATAACCCAATAATCCGTCTTCGATTTATCTCGGTTTTCCGAGTGCTTGTCGGCGTGGCAAACGTACACGATGCGCGATAGAAAACACTCTTTCATCAGCCGCCATTACGGCTCCGTACATTAAATATTACCTCTCATAAATATCGTCGCGTCGAGCCGTTGAGTCGTTCGCTCGTCCCTATGGCGACAATTTGCATTCACGTTTGATAACGCTAAGCGGAATGGACAATCGAATCCACGTTTTCGACGAATCCATCTCTTAACATCGAAGCATTATCCTTGCGAGATTAATGACCCGCAGGATTGTATACATGATGGCGAAAATCGAGCGGGATTCTCATCCGTTTCTCGTTTCGTCCGCAGAACTCGTTTGGCGTATTCGAGAACGATGTTTGAGAATTCGAGTCGTTCAAGCGTCACTCGAGCGAAATCGCGAGTCGATTTTACGAGAAATAAATAATTCTTTTACGCTCTTCGAGAGCAAACGTACCGCAACGAGGATACCGAGGTTAACGCCACTCGCGCGCATGCGCACTGCGCGAATCTCGCAGGAAATCGCACGTATGCACGAGAGCTCCTTGAATTCGTTTTGTTGCAACAATCGATTCCGGCGTTCCTGGCGCATACGATCGAAAATTCGTCGCGCGTTTCTCTACCTCCTTCTTTTTTCTCGTTGATGAGTCCGACGCTACGTCGCGTCGATCATCCGCACCGACTCGAGAACGCTCGGTGTAAACGCGCGCGTAGAAATACAATCCTAACCTCGTTTTTAAGCAAGCAAAAGAGAGAAAGAGAAAGAAACGTCCCTCGATCTTGATTTCAACGCAACGTTATGTCTTCGGCCGTTGTTGGACTCCCTGTCACCGTCGAGTTCGGGTAAGGTCATTAATATCTAAATTTCGCGACATCCGATTGTCGTCGCAAGTTTATTTAGCGCTCATAAATTTTGCAGGGGTGGGGCGGAAATGCTGTTCAGTGGGAAGAAGCGGCATGAGGTGGACTTACCCGGCGAGGAATGTAAGCAACTCCTCAGAGCTCCTTACGTGTTTTAAGTTCGCGAGTCCGTCCTTCCTCTTAACCACAAATCAATTTGATTCCGCAGGGACGCTGAAGCGACTGCTGTCCTGGCTGCGGGATAACCTTTTAACGGAACGACCAGAACTCTTCATGCAGGGCGATACTGTGTAAGTGCAGTCGTACACCCCGATTGCGCGTCGACGTTCGCTGTCGCGTCAAAAGAGTCCGTCGTTTGGGCAATTAATTGCCGATTCGAGAGCTGCAGGTTACGCGTAAATCGCGTCACGTCACGCGCACAGCTACGTGAACGCAATCGACCGATATCCGTAAACGAAAATGGCCGCGTGTCGCGCCGGTTGACATCGCCAATCGTCCATTATTGGATGGCGCTATCGGCCGCCAACGCTATCATCGCCGCGTGCATCGTACAGATGTCGGTACCGTGCGCTCTGCGGCACGACTTGAAATTATATACACATGTATAAGACCTTGCACAATGAAGAAAATATTAGGAATAGGAATAAATATTAAATGCACAATAGACAACAGAAAATAACACATGCAACAGATTTCAATCTATCGGAAATCGTGTATGAATCAATAGACCGATATATCAATTGGTACACAGTTCTCGATCGAAGTTTCCTTTTAAAATTTTTTGACATCAGTCAACATAAATTATTTTCTTATAAAATTTAAATTTCTTGATTATTTTTAAATTAAAAGTATAATTTCATTATTATTTAAAAGTATTTTACTTTTACTATATAAATAAATTATAATTTAAATGGATAGGAAAAACCAAGTGAGTAGCTAGTTCTGCAGTTAGTAATTTTTTAATTTAATTTGTTATAAAAATTTAAAAAAATATCGCGATTCGAAGCTCAAACGCTCAAGTGGCGCGTGCGAGCATAGTGAAGTCGGCTGCGAAAGTTGCGGATCTGTCGATTGACCATTTTTGCGAGTCAACGACTCGAGTAGTGCCGGACAATCGGGTGAACGACTCCGGTAGTATGCGTTTTGAAATTCACGTTGCCGAAGTGGAAGTTTCGTGCGGCGAATGATCGTGGTGTTGTGAGTTTTCGATTGCGTTCATCGTCTCGCGTTCATTACGCCAACTTTTCGTAATTGGCAGAGAAAGCGCGCTAACGCGGGATCGCGAGTAAGTTTTTTTAACACGCAGTACGCCTGCCCGGCAAATCGTACAACTCGATTTGAGAAGTTTACCTTGTTTGTCTAGGAGGCCGGGCATTCTGGTTCTGGTGAACGATGCCGACTGGGAATTGTTGGTGAGTTTTGCGCCTGCGGCGTTTGTTTCATTTGTCGCATACTTTTACTTGACAGGCCGTCACTTGGGTATTTCAAGGATTTTTATTGGGGGAATGTGAAAGCCGTGCGTTTGATAAGGGTTGCAAGGTTTTCTGGGACAAAAATCCTGTCAAGTGTCAGCCGTCATTGTACGCAGTATTTTCAAAAACTATTATGTCTCTCTTTTTGAGTCTACTCTCTAATAGAATTGGTGTCTTGATAACAAAAATGTCGAGTCTTAATCGTATTTGAAATTACTACATGAATATAATTTTAGAAATAAATATAATAATTATTTTGTCGCTTTTGATAAGGAAATCGAAGAAAATCACTTCATTAGTTGATATCTTCAATTTCATATCGAAGTAATGGATGATTGTAAAATAATACTGTGGGTAAAACGAATAAAGAGTGTAGAATAAATTTAAAATTATTTATCTATGAGATTTTTGCCGCTAATTAATGTAGAATTCTTAAAGTCATTGGAACAGCCATTCGTAAGATTAAATTTGTAACATTAAATATATTTGATTTTTGCTTAAAATATTCTCTTGAGATAAACTTTTTATATATGCCTTAAAGATATTCTGGAATTATTAAAACTTCATTCTCGAGGAAGATCTTTTAAATATAGATTTAAATGCTCGACGAGAATGGCAGACGGATTTAAATTCGAAAAGGATGGAATGGATTACTTAGCTGCGTGATTCTTAAGTCGTCACACTGTGAGATATGAGAGATTAATGCACCATGTTCACCGGAGGAATCCTTTAAAGACGCAATATTATTTTATTCTTTCTTTTTAAAATTATTACAAATTTATTAACTTAAGGGAGAAATATCTAAATACGAATTTAATTATATTTTCAGAGAGGCTAATGTAAGAAAAATAATTAAAAAAAAAAAAAATAACATGTAAAGACCACGGGATTTTAAGAATCGTTAAGATTTAGGATTATTAAGACCGCATTTTAATTTCGAT